TGGGAAGAATTTTCCGATATCAAGATTAATTATTATTTCTCAATCACAAACTTTTTAGGCATCAATCCTACAATAAAAACGTACATTATAAACGTATATATGAAGCTATGCAAATTTACCTTACGTTATTGACCGTCGACAGAGGTCAATTTTGACTGCCGACCAGTTAGTTATACAGTATACAATATGTCCATCATCTTGAATATAAACAATTAATGGTTAGTAATTATTTCTCTATTATAAGCATTCTTATTCTAATAATCTAGTTCTTGCTAGTTAAATGCTTAACGTCACCATCGTCGATTGGTTTGTAGAGTTGGTTTATCATTTACTAAATTCCTGCACACTCGGTTAATTGTGTTATTATATGTGTCCTTCTAGTGTCCTTACTATGGAAAGCCATCATGATCAAAAGTGCGTAGTAAATACAGTGTATACACGCTAAATTATGTAGCGTGGATACGTTATTTTTTATGGCGGGTTGTAACCTGTAGTCGGGTTAACATGGGTAACTTGTCGCAAAAAGTAGCGTTTAATACGCTATATTTCCATTGAGATTTAAATTATTCGACTAGTAATATTCCGCCAATATACTAAGTAATTTTAATATGAAGTGATGAGTAAATTATTTAAATTAAAAAAAAAAAAAGAATTATAATAATATGAAAACATTTACTCTTAATAGAACGGTTTATCCATGTTCATCCGATCAAAACTTCAGCGACTTGAGTCGGTTCGTTCCATTCGGTTGGTACAGTTCACCCTCTCTATAGCGAATTTTTATATAGTGAATAACTTGCAGGTACAGAATTTTTTATATATATAATAAAATGACCCTCAGTATAGTGAATTTCTCACTAATTTTAATCTCCAGCCCATGGGATTCACTATAGTGAAGGTGAACTGAGTGTACATCGGTTCCAAATCGATTTTAATAAATTTTGATATATACAGACTCGGAGCAAGTAAGTACCACTAAGGTCTGGTAAAGGCATGTTACCTTAAGAATCGATATTAATTTTTTTTAATAATATAGACAAAACCGGAACTACTAATAATTGATATTGAAGATAAGAATGATACGAACTTTGATATCCAAAGACTTCACGTGATTTAGTTAGAGAAGTCAAGACCTCATAATTGGGAAATATAAATGGCAATTCACAATAGTAGCAATTTCTTATGACATTTAAATAATAAATTGATAAATGGAAACATTTTAATATTATACCTATTATTTTATAATGAAAATCTTAGAGAATGAAATTGAGGATAAGATATTTGATCGTCAATGTAAAAAAAAGGACCCAAACCCGATTATAACTCTGCTCAACATGGGTTTTTCAATAGTATCGGTTCGGAACCGAGCCGAACCGAGCGAGTTGTCCCCATCCATAGGGATAATGAAGTCCGGAAGATTTTAATATTCACCCTCATCGTAAGATGGATTGTAAAGATACATTTCAAATATTGAACGTTCGTTCTACTATCGTGTCGTAATGTACGCTTATACTTGAGTCGTTCACTTGACGAAGTTATTTGGTACAAATAATTGTTCTAACGCAAGTATTTTTATTTATAAGGTGCATTCAGCCACATTGACTTCATGAAACTTCTCTACTTTCCCTCTGACTTTACTAAATAATCATAATTCTTGGTTAATTTAATATTCAATATAGTGTAACAGTCTAAGTAAATTTGAATGAAAAAAAAAAAAAAAAAAAAAAA